ATTTTCCTTATTTGTAGTGAGTTTTTAATGTGCTCCTCGAACGCATTCGTTGCAGCTTCCATTCTGCATCTTTTAGGTGGTAGTTATGGTCAAACGTCATCGTTGGCCGACGAAATGAACAACGGACGTAATCAAATGAACGACAACAACAACACGCTCGCAGGCAATACAATTATTGGCAACACAAATGCCCTTCTCAATAACGGTACAGTACGAAATAATCAACGCTCATTTCTGACACTCAAATGTGGTTACCTACTCGATGAGGATTCTAGTCCCGATTCGGAACGTTTGCAAAGTTTGGGTGATGTGGATAGCGGTCATAGTACTGCGCATTCACCGAATGATTTCAAAAGCATGTCCCCACAAATCACTTCCCCCGTTTCACAATCGCCATTCCCTCAACCCTTCGGTGGTGTGCCCTTCGCCCAATTGGAAATGCTCGAAGCTACACACCGTGGCTTACACAAATTCATACCACGTCATCATGATGAGATCGAAATTGAAATTGGCGATGCTATTTACGTACAAAAAGAGGCTGACGATCTGTGGTGTGAGGGTGTAAATTTACGCACTGGTAGACAGGGTATTTTCCCATCGGCCTATGCGGTCGATTTGGACTACAATGAATTTGATCCCACGGTGCAGCAGGTGAAGAAAGAGCGTTATTTACTCGGTTATTTGGGTTCGGTGGAGACACTGGCTCACAAGGGAACCGGTGTGGTGTGCCAAGCTGTACGGAAAATTGTGGGCGAATATGGCAATTCACCAACTGGACAAGTGTGCATACTGGAAGTATCCGATCAGGGACTGCGCATGGTGGATCGTTCCGGGCCAAATGTAAGTGCATTGAGTTGTGTGTTGTTGGTGTAAATTGTGTAATATTAATTTGTTTTGTTTTTTTTTTCTTTCTCTTTTTAAGAAGAAGGACAAGAAACCCTGCATCGATTACTTCTATTCGCTGAAGAATGTCTCATTCTGCGCATTTCATCCACGCGATCATCGTTTTATTGGCTTCATAACGAAGCATCCAACGGTGCAACGTTTTGCGTGCCATGTCTTCAAAGGTTCAGAATCTACACGACCAGTTGCTGAAGCTGTTGGGTAAGTACTTGGAAAGTTTTTCGACTTCAAACACAAAAACTTTGTAGTTCTAACCAAATAATTTAACGCTTAAATTGTGCTCGCTTTTTATTTTTCTTAACACTTTTTTGCAGTCGTGCATTTCAACGCTTCTACCAGAAATTTATAGAAACTGCATATCCGATTGAAGATATATATATAGAGTAAGCCGATTGCAATCGCTGATGACGGCTGGCAAAAAGGATGTGCTACACTACTACATATGTATATAAGTAGTTATTGTTAGTGCTGGTTTGTGGTTTACGCTTATTTTTTCCCCAAATTCATTAACACAAATGAAAAATGTTGTCTTCAACAAATACCAAATAAGTAAAAAGTACTCATGCTCGCGTTTATTGGATGAAAACGGAAAATTGAAATACATACTTACTAAAGTAATTATGTAATAAAACTAAAATTATTCCAATTTGAATTAACAAGAAAACTCTTTAGTAGGAGAAAAATTAGTAATATGTAATCAATTAGTTACCACATTATTGACATGTTTGACTTGTTTAATTCAGTTCTTTGTATTGGTGGTATGCAATTTATTTGTAGAGTTCCAGCAGTGTTCGAAAAAAAAGCAAATTTGTCCTAAAGCCAAGGCTTTTAACTGAGACTTTCTCTTTTGATTCCCGTACTGATTTATGGCCATGGCGAAATATTCACAGCCGACTGTGTTCTTTATTACTATTTTCGTAGTACAGTACTCCCCTGTTAACAGACACCGCTTAAATAATTTTCTCAGTTACATGTATTAACTTGAAACTCGTTCAAAGCCGCAAAGCATTCATGTTTTTAGTAAGGCAGAGCTTTTGTGAAGTGAGCATCGGTTAATTGAGCCAACGAATAATTACAAGAAATGCTATTGATCGTCTTCAATTAAACGGGCCCCACTGTGTTGCTTGATGAATTGTAACTGTGAAAAATGCGTGTTGAAGAAAAACTGTTTCTTAACACATTCCAGCTGACTTCTATATAAAATTATATACACAGAGAAAAAAATATAACCTATAGGAACATGGATTGCCTCTAAGAAAAGTTATTATTTTTTTATTTACCACTTATAAAAGCTTGCTGTAAGTTTATTTTTTTTAATACTTCTTAAAAGTAAGCACTCATTGAAAAGTAGGGATGTACTTCTTCTTAGTTGTATGTGATGCCTCCGTGAATTCATTTTAAATAAATATTATCAAATATAATAGTGACGGTAAGGTGACCACCGTAGCCCAGCCGGCAGAACTGTAAACTGCCATTCAGTAGGTCCCGGGTTCTAGAACAGGTCAGCGCGCCAACTTTTTTTTTCTTCATTTTCTGTTTTTAACATTTAATTAGATAACCTAATATATAAAAATCGCCACTATGGCATAGTGGTTAGCCTTGCTCGCTTTCCGAACAACATCAAAAAATAATAAACAATAAAGTTTTTTTTCTAATAGCGGTCGCCCCTCGGTAGGCAATGGCAAAGCTATTGTAGTGTATTCTGCCATGAAAAACAGCTTGTCCGTTCGGAGTCGGCGTAAAACTGTAGGTCCCTCCCCTTTATGTGACAACATCAAGTCGCACTTCACAAATCGGAGGAGAAGCTCGGCCAAACACCAACATATTGTGTAAGTGCCGAGAGACTTTCTTCTTGATTTCATTGAAGATATAATCCCAAGAACGCTTCAAAAGAACAACCGAAATGAGAACAAACCTATCGAGGACGTTCTCAATATAAGAAGCAAACCCTGCGGAACAATCAAGAAGGGAACAAAATGCGAACAATACTTACAGACAAATTTTAAAGAGAACAAAATGGGAACAAAAGGCTCCGGAACGTTTTAGCAAGGAACGAAATGGGAGCAATTGTCTAAGGAACATTCTGTCGAGGAACAATTTGGGAACTAAAGTCTAAGGAACTTTCTGACAGAGAACGAAACGGGAACAAATCTTCTCTGAACTATTCACCAAGAATGGAAGCTAGAACAAAATTTTTCACTTAGCAATCATTATTTTGAAATGTTTGAATATTAGAAATAATCAAAAAATATCTGAAAGATAAATATGCAAATTACCCGCAAGTCAACGAAAGACTTAAGACACGAACATTTCTGTAGTTCTCACTTAAACAATTTTTCATCTCAACACGCAGACGCCCTTCTCATTCTTAACGTCGAGTTCTCAAAACCTTTGTTCTCGTTTTGTTCTCGAACAGAACGTTCCCCAGACTTTTGTTCTTATTTGATCCTCCTTGAAAACGTTATCGATACTTTATTTCTTATTATTTTCTCATTGTAGAGGTTCACGTAAGTTTCGTTCTCATACTGTTCTTCTGGAGAACGTTCCCGAGAGTTTTCTTTGCATTTTGTTCTTTGCGGAAACGTTCCCGAAACTTTTGTTCCCATTTTGTTCCCGTTCAAACTGCTCTCAATACTTTTGTTCCCCTTTGGCTCTTTTTTGGGAACGCGTTCTTGATGCAATTTTTCTTTTACAACACTGATTTCATCATCAAAGTAGCGTAAATATTCCTAATTGAAATTTACATTTTCCAATATATTTTAAGTATTTAAATACGTAAGTTGTACTTGTACATTTATATTAAAATTAGTTTATGAGTAGTATAAAATTAAATTATACTAAATATATATGTATGTATTAGTGAATGTACGCAAGTATTTTTATGTAATAATTTAATTATAAGTTTCCAGTTGCTACTAAAATTAGTTAAATATGAGTTAAACTTTTGCAATACTTTAAATGACGTGAAAATCAAAATATTTTTTACTACATACTTATAAATTTACTTACATACACATATATATATAAATATTATTTACAGACAAATCTTAATACCAAGTGCTAATTTATTTTTTACCAAAGAAGAATAAATTTCGAAAAAGTAAACACATACATACAACACATTCTTTCGAATCAATACATCAACTTTGAAATATTACATACAAATGTAAATAGTTTAGAAAATATATATGAAGAGAAGGAACTCTTTGAAGAAATGTGCCAGGCTAAGTCCTTTGGACGCGAAAGTTTTGTATAAGGTGATGAAGGAAAAAAAAAACACAAAATATGTATGTATATGTTGAACTTTAAAAAATAAAAATTAAAAAACAATAAATGAGTGAAATGATGCATGCGTGGCAGATGGGTTAAAAGTCTATTTTTTTAAGCAGACACAACACTTAAAATTACATAAAAACAATAAAGTTGAGCTGTAACACCATTTGTTTATTGGAAAACCATTTGCACTGATATCAAAAATAATTTCCTTTTTAAAAATATGCAGTTAGTCAGCAACAAACAATAGCAATAGACAAATTCAAGAGAACCAAAGTAAAAGCAGCAAATAAGTATATATGTAAACCAGGGACCGTAACAGTTACGATATTAATAATAAAAATCATAATTTAACAGTTAAAACTGGATTTCAATTTTTCCGATCAGATTTAACCGTTATTTTATGATTTTCATTTTTTCAATGATATCACAACCGTTATTTCCAGGCTTAATATTTTAGATCATAAAAGATTTAAATGCAGTCTCCATAATAACGTTTAAAAGTGATCGGAAAAAATATAAATCCAAAATATTTATTATTTTTGATCGAAAAAAAATAAAAATCACAAAATAACGATTAAATTTAACCGGAAAAATAAAGATCACATCTTAACGATTATTCTTGATGGAAAATAATTCAAATCAAAATATAACGATTTTGCAATGATCTAAAAAAAAATCCTGTTATTTAACGGTCCCTGTAAAAATTCAATATTTGTAATAAGCAAATAAGAATACTTATAGCACCTTATTCATTAAATCATAACATTAGCTGTACACAAATTGAGGCGGGTCAAATTTGAATAGGTGTAGGTAAGAAAAAGCACACTTCTATGATTCATTACGAACTCTAAATAAAAATAAAAAAAATATGCATACAAAACTTTAATTTTTGAGTTAAAGTTTGAGATCAGTTTTGTCCTTAACCAGCCTTTATATATGGATACACATACATATGTACATATGGCTACTAAATACAAAAGTTTTGCAATACGGCTGCGTCAGTCGATGTCAAATCGATCAATGGTTGGAATCGACCATTTTTGATTTGGATGAGTTTTGATCAAAACTTTTCCTTTATCATATAAAAAAATAATTTTTTTTAAAGTTATGCAAAATTCTAAATTTGATAAATTCTGGGACTTTTTCTAATTTTTTTTATTGTGTCTTTTTACGTTTAAAATTTCGAATTTTTAATATACTTTTTTATATAACCCCAAATTTTACCTTTAAAGCGAGATCGAAACCATTTCTGTAACTATATTTGTATTGGAGATATTCAAAAATAAACTTGCGAAATCCCAGAACTTGTGAAATTTTGAACTTTCGAAAAAACAAATGCGTTTTCTTTTGTTATAGTTAAAAGAATTGTTCTGAGTCACTCGCGTGATCCTAAGCCCCTAGAAGTGCCTCATTTTCTTTCAGCTTCGCTTACACATGCGGCAACTGTGGAAAGTGACAGAGCTCATCTCCTAATGTACCCAAGAAGTTTCAGTCCAGCAGTAGTTAAATACTCGGTGCATGCTCAGGCGCGGTAAGCTGGAGCTTTGACATGGTGGCTATTCTTGACTTTGGCCGCATTGTTTTTCATATCTTCATCTCTATGGCTTCAGGCAGGCAATGCTCAGTGTCTCACTTAGCTATGACTGTATTCTGTGTGTCGAAAAAGGCGCCTTCTAAAAATACGCTCGATTTGAAAACACAACATTTATTTTTTTGGTTATCGAGCCGAATTTTAAAACAACCACGGCCGTGTCCTAATCATCAAATACCCAAACTTTGTTTCTTCAGTCAATGAGCCATCAATTTACTGGGTTTTCATGTTTTGGTTTATCCGATATGTCTCGGATATGCCTGCCCAACTTTTACTTACATAGATCAGTTTTAAACCACTTTTTAAAATTGGACCTCGGATGCATTGTATCCCTCGTTATTGCAATTTTAGGGAACTACTTCGTCAGCATATCATCCTTAGGAGAGCCCTTTTCGACTAAGTCTGTATATGAATGTGAAGAGTGGTATGATCTAGAAGAACTTAAAAGGTTGCAGTTGGACAACTTCGCTATTGGAAAACAACAATCGAAATGTTTTTACGAGTATATTAAAATTGTATACTACAAAATAACGGGACTTTCCGTTGTTTGTCAGCTTTTTCCTTTTGTGAATTAAATAAACCTCGTCAGTAACCCTGGCTATCTCCGCAAAGGTATTTTCAGATGAAATTATGCCATAATTAATTAACTTATTACCAAAATAATCATTGCATTTTCGCCAAAATATGCATTTTGTGTCATAATATGCATTTGCATATTTTTTCTTCCCTAGTAATAACATATATCCTCCTGCGTATTGTTTCAAGTCTAATTCTAAACTAGAAAATTTTAAATTTTATTTTTTATTTTTTTCTTAATTTTATTACCTTTTAATTTTTAGACATTGGTTTAAAGGAATACTAGTTTTTTTAATTTCATTTCATTTCTAAGAACTTATGTTATTTTATGTTATTTTGATTTTTAAATATATTTTCTCTTTTTTATTAATTTAATTTTCTTTTAATTTTTGGATTTTATTGTTTAGAAAAGGAAAATACTCTTTATAATGTAATTTAATTTTTAGAAACTTACTTTATTTAATTTTTTCTTTTTTTTAAATTTATTTCTTTTAATATTTTTTTTTTAATAATTTTATATAATTATTAAGTACAATTTTCTCTTTTTTCTAATCCAATTTCTAGGTTTTATTGTTTTCAAACGAAATTTTTTAATGGCATTTAGTTTTTATTAATTTTTTTATTTGTTTTTACTTTAATTTCTTTTTATTAGTTTTTTTTTAATTAAATGTTCGTTTATTTATTAGTTTTTATTGATTCAAAAAGAAAAATT